TTTTTTTTCCCGCTGCAGGAGCCGCGGTGACCGGCAGGGCGGTCAGGGAGATGTGGTTTACCCCATCGGCTACTCTGAGAAACCGGTCCCCGACACCAGCATCCAGGAGACTGACAAGAACCTGGTGGAGAAGGTGAGAAAAGCTCCAGATACACACACATTTTTCCTCCTGTCGAATGGTCCCAACCACCAGTCTGTGGATTTAATGTCTATTTAACTTCATAGGTGAAGCTACCATTGCTGAATTAGTTTTGCTTTACTTTGTGAGAAATAAACACAATAACAAATCTTTTTATAGTGACCATCCAGATTTTGTTTTTACTTTAGTTTTATAGTTTTTGTACTAGCTTTATAATAACCATGGTGTACATAGTTTATTCTGTCAAACATGTGGAATCAGTACTTAGGGCAGAAACTGGATGTGGATTTTGGAACTGGCACAGAGGAGAGTCTATGTGCCTTCTCACAATGAGTGGTCAGCCCTCAGCCCATACTTTGGAATAGGTGCCTTAAAGACAGCCGCTTTTATTTTGATAGGACATTTAAAACAATAGGACTATAGTCAAAATGTTTCCTCACAAAAGTGTTAGAATGAAGGTGATCTGCTTAGAAGGAAAAGAAAAGAGCTCAGTAAAGAAAGCGAGGCTTAGTTTTTGGTGGACGTAAGAGGGTCTTTAGCAGGGATTTAAATCAAACATGTGGTACTTGGTCTGACCCCCGCCCACTCTCTCGTCTTGCTGTGGCGCAGAGGTGCTGGGACGTGGCCCTTGGGCCCCTGAAGCAGATCCCCATGAACCTGTTCATCATGTACATGTCGGGCAACACTATCTCCATCTTCCCCATCATGATGGTGTGCATGATGGCCTGGAGGCCCATCCAGGCGCTCATGTCCATGTCTGCCAGTGAGTATCCAGCGCTCAGACACCGTTTATGTTCCTGACCAGATGCTAACTGCTCCTTTCATCCTCTCCGCCTCAGCCTTCAAGCTGCTGGAGAGCTCCAGCCAGCAGTGGCTCCAAGGCCTCGTCTACCTGATCGGAAACCTCCTGGGCTCGGCGCTGGCCATCTACAAGTGTCAGTCGATGGGACTGCTCCCGACACACTCATCCGATTGGCTGGCGTTCATAGATCCGCCACAGGTAAGGTCGTAAACGTGCAGCAGGGATAAATAGTTCTTCAAACTGATACCCTAACTGTATCTACTAAAAATCTAAGATGAGTTTGACCTTGACCTGAAGGTCAGAGGTCAAGCTTTCTGAATATCTTGCATATGCAATGACTTGAACAAGGGCTGAGATGCAGATTCTAAAATTGATACCATAGATGTGTGTACTAGGAGGCTGACAGGTAGCACTGCTGGTACCCAGTGTTTTTAGTAGTTGTAGTAATATTAATAATAATGATAGTAGTAATAAGAATGGGTATAATAATAATAATAATAATAATAATAATAATAATAATAATAATAATAGTAAAAAAATGATAATAAATGATGACGTTAACCTTTAGAATTGTCCCTTCTGTTTAAGTGTAAAGTTTAAGTACATTCTTATTTATAAAACTTGTCTCAGTTTGTCCACAAAGAAATCCACCAGCACAGCCGATGTTTGGGCTTAAACTTTATTAAATTAGATAAAGGTTTCTGCAGCTCATTACCCCAAATTTCTGTGGACCCCCTGCTTACAAATAAAAAGGGAAAGCTGTAAGTGGTTTGTTTACAGGGGGGAAAAAAAACACCTCATTGTTTGTCATGACGGAGCAGTACAATCTGCCACTGAGCAGATTTTCACACTTTGTTCACATTTTGAGTAATTCTAGTTAAAAATACAGCCAATAAAATGAAGTAAAGAGTCTGACACAAGCTTTTCATTAGCTCAGCTTTTGGCTTCATCGGACTGTTTGCTGATAAAAGCTGCTGTGAGCAGCTCTACATGTTTGATTTGGCAGATTCTTTCTAATGCAGCCCTTGAAGGGATGTGTGTGGAAGTGGTGACCCTTCACTTGTTCTGTGAATGTGTGAACCACTGCGCTGTCTGCCAGAAACACAATACCTGAAAAATGGCACAGTAGGTTTGGTCTGTAAAGTAATTTTTTCATGTTTTCAGGCTTTTTGGCTTCTTCATTAAGTTCTTATAAGACAGACGTGTTACGATCCTCAACCTGCTGAACTACTGTTTCTAGCTCAGTAGGGGGCAGAATTGGCTTAGTTTCAAATTTTCCTGAGATCATGGAAGAAACCTTGCATTATCAATGATGTATTTATTTGGTCGTCAGAAACATCTGTGTAACATGCAGGAACAAATAAAATCTTACCTTTTTTTATGTTAAAATACCTCAGAGTGGGCCTTTGAGGGGTGACTGCACATAAACATCAAACAGTTAATGCTGAGAGTCTGTTTCCTTCCTTCCTTACTTCACAGTGCGACTGATTCATTTGCAGGTCTGCTTGCAAGTAAAACGATTGCAAGTTGGTTTTAGGTGCAGTAAGCAAAAGTTCCCTGATGTGCTCTGGGGAGGAGACGCACATCCTTCTGGATTTCCCTCAGGAAGAGTATGCAATGTTCCTGAATCAAACATACGGAGCTAGTTGCTATGGAAACCGCTTGTATAAGTGCACAGCCGGAAGTAACTTTGTTACCAGTTTCACTTGGTATTACCCAGCAACCTCCTGCAACCACTTCCCAACCAGTTGGGGAATACACATTTTTTTTCCTTAGCAAACAAAGGTTGCCTGATGGTTGCTAACTGGTGTGTAGGCCTGTGTGAATTAGTCAGAAAACAGTCAGACTTGGGCATCGTTTACCTCTTTACCCCTTGAAAGCAGACTTGGAGTAACATCTGAAGCTCTTTTCTGAACTGAGTGGTTTATGTCATATTTAAGGCCTGTTTACGGGAGATATGAATGACTGTTTGCATCAGAAGTTAGTGAGGGTGGTGTCTGCCTGTGGAGCTACCCAGAAAAAACCCAGAAAGTATTCTAACAGTGGTCAAAGCACATTTTTATTGACATATGCTGAGGTGTCAGAGGGGAGGTCTTCAGATGTCGACTGTATGGGGAAAAGAGCTAAACGAGGTTAAACGTTGTCTGTATTTTACACTATTAGTGAAAAAACTCCTTCTAGTGTCCACTCATTTTCCAGCTCGCAGTGTTTGAGGCTTCTTTATTTTCCTGTCACAGTGACAGCCACGTGTTCCTGACTATAAGAGCTTGAAACCAGCAGCTAACTGCCAATTAATTAAGTATGGGTAATTAGTTTAACCGAGTAGTGTTTCCCAGTTTTAGTGTTTCAGTTGTCACGCAGGTCCCTGCGGTGTTTTGTCACACTGGTTACTGCCTCTCACTGTACCCACATTTGTCTTCTCCACAGAGGATGGAGATCATGGGAGGAGGGATGGTTTTGTGAAGAGGAACACGTGTGCATGCAAAGGATCGATATGTTGACCTTCAGAGGTTAGATACTGTAAATACTCCACCTGAGCCGCACCACCGAGGCCGCCCGGCAAAGCTGACATGGAAGAAAATCCAGCTGGCTTTTTTTCCCGTCCTCAACAGATCCAGGCTCGACCGCAGCAGTTAAAATGGCACCGCCAGGGTTTCATCTCACACACACATACACTATTTGCCTTTTATCAGAGAAACGTTACTTCCGCCAGCTGCTCTGCTTACATTTGCCGTCACCTCTGACGTTCTTCTTTTCTTAAAGCCAGCTGATCATCATATGTACTGCTGTTCAACTACTGTAATTTCACTTCCACGTGATACATACTTCACATGCTAAAAATACGAGATTATCGACAAGGTTATTTTTGGAGGGTAAACATCACTAATGGCAGAGTGTTACCTGTAACTCCCGAGGGAGTCCCTGGGAGAAGGTCATTTCTCATGAATAGTAGAGTAGTTTTCTTTTTTGTTTTCTTCCATCAGTCGTTCAGTTTGTTGTGAACGCTTCATTATGTTAACATGAACTCGCCAAGCTAGCCCACAACATTTTCGAAACCGGTTAAATTAAAAGTTTTGTTTATTTTTGCAGAATTGTTTTTTTCCCTATGAAAATATTCTAGGAAATAAATCCTTATTGGTTGAATTCAAATGAGTTTGGATGTTTGATTATTTTTGCAGTGGTTTTTTTGGTAAGTTGTTTCATGAAGATACTTAATGTTCAGTGGAATTACACAGAAACTAAACTAAAAAACTTCTAATGAAGGCTGTATGTTGGGCAAGATACTAACCCCATGTTTGCCTACTGGTGGTGGTCAGAGGGCCCGGTGGCGCCAGTGTCCGGCAGCCTCGCCTCTGTCAGTGCGCCCCAGGGCAGCTGTGGCTACAATGTAGCTTGCCATCACCAGTGTGTAAATGTATGGGTGGATGACTGAATGTAGTGTAAAGCGCTTTGGGGTCCTTAGGGACTAAGTAAAGCGCTATACAAATGCAGGCCATTTACCATTCATGTTTTTGGTGATTTAGGTGTGAACTACTGAGGACCATGTCAGACTTTGGATCTTCTTGTCCAACATGTTTAAATCTGGAGGAAAAAACTTCAGTTTATTTGCTCAGTCATGACATTTTTCAGCCATAAGCACGAGAGTTGTTTAATATGTCAGAGTGATATGATATTACACAATATGACTGGTTGCAAGAGAAAAATGCACACCTGAAGGCACGGCCGATAAGATTGTTTTTAGTCGGATATTTACCGCACCCTGTCCACAAACCAAGTTCAAAAGGTCTGAATCTGATTTAGTTTGTTGGATTTTCTGAGATGTCACAAAGCCTCCCAAGTCTCTTTTTGGTTTTTTCAAATGTTTGTCTATAATAGTCATAAAGAACACTTTAAAGGATTTCTACTGGGGTTGGCTTCAAATGTTAATCACTTTCAGTTAAGTCCCACTGTCCTGAATGTTTTCAGAAATCCTGGAAATAAATAACCTGAACCACAGTCATGAATTCACAGAGGTAGCAAAGATATTCCTTTAATGTAACTGGCTTTAAAAGATCCTTCAGCGAGATTAGTCTCCGGTTCAGAAGCAGAAACCACTTTGAATCCATTTCAGCTGTTTTGGTACAAATGAAGGTACTGGTTGGAGCAGAGCTGGGTTAAAGTCGCTCTACAGCCCCATCCAGCTCTTCTCGTGTGGCGGCCTGTCTGAGGGTAACTCCTCTATACTCTTGATATACCTGACTGTGCTGCAGGAACTAACAAAAACACTAACAGAGTAAAACCAAAGAACATTACATTAGCTCCTAATCCTTCTTTTACCACCTGGACCACTTTGGGCTTCACCTTCTACATCTGATATATGTATGTACACACTCAACTGGCTTCTTTCCCCACACCTTGGTGGAGGGATTCAGAAAACCACTGAAGCCCCGCCCTGGAGCCAGGCCTGGGAGGGAGCTCAAGGGAGAGTGCCTGGTGCCAGGGTCTTACCCCATGAGACCCAACCGGGCCCACCCTGAAGAGGAGACGTGGGCCCACCACTTGCTGTAGTGAGCAGGATGCGTGGGTGTGTGTCTGCTGGCTATCACGACATATAGGTCCCTGATGAGAAGATTAAAAATGTGTGTTTTGTTAAATCATATATGTTTAATGGAAAAATAAGAAATACATATATATATATAACATAAATGATACCGGTAATAAAATTTTGAATGGATGCTTCAGGCTTCACACAGAGCCTGTTTTGAAAGCAGGCCTTGACAAAGCGCTTGTATCAACATTTAGCCAATTACAGGAAGTAAGTATCAAAATAAAAGTTCAGCTCAGCCGGCAGTGAATTTAAACTTCCGTCTTTGTCTCATTCCAAACTTTTCCATTCCTCCATTCCTTTTGCTTCTTGTGGGTGTGGATTTATCAGCAGGAACACCCAGAACAGAACAATCAGGTATGGCAGAAACCTCAGAGGCCATGAGGGCGGCTTTCACAGCGTTTGGTAGTCATCAGTGAATAAACATGAAAGTTTGGCTCTTAATGTAACATCTGAGATTCAGAAATGTGCCAAAACATATTAAATATATATAGTCTTCTTCACAAGTATCTTCATCTTATCACAGTACTGCATCACAGTGTGCACTGTATTTACAAACAGCACAGAGGACACACAGAGAGGGTAGCATCGTCTGTATTACTGGTACAGAGATGATGTTTAAAGAGCCAAACATGATCTGCAAACTGCAGAAACAAGCCCACAAGATAAATAAATGTACCAGCACAATGATTAGAAAACACATTTATTGTGTCTTTTAGTGTAAATATGTTAATAAGGTGTGTGGTGGACAGTGCACACATGGTTTCTCATGTCTTACCAGCAGAGCAAAGATGAAGCTCTGCAGCCTCCTGCCTGAGGTGAGGGGGGCAAACGGGGTATGTGCTGGATGAGTGGAGCTCTTCAAGATCCAAGAGGCTCTTATCCTCCACCTGCCGGTGTAGATGTCCCTCAGCAGAGCCTTCTTCTCCGTCAGGGAGCAGCTGCCATGCCACACAGTGGCACAAAGTTACACATCTGGACACTCTCTCCTCCACTGCACATCTTCAGGACTGAGCAGACTTCATCCTTCTGAGAGATTGACGGACTGGTGCTTACACAGCACCTTCCTCCTCTAACTGAGCTGTCGAAGCGTTTTGTACTACCAGCTTCATTCACCCAGTCTCGCACCCTGTCTAAATGTGTCTAAATCCCTTGTCCAACATCTGCACACCCCAACCTGAGACTAGTATAAAACCCGCTTTAGCCAGCTAGCATACTGGTATAAGATTCACAAGTAGCAAATGAAAAAGACGGGTTAGAGCTAGGACTGGTAAAAATCTGGTAAATCCAAATGATGAGATCCTGGAGGGAGAGACGAGCGGTGGTTCTGCGCATGCACTTTATGGTTATACTTGTTAAAGTTAATCTAGATGTGTTAAAATTACTGAAATTTGTTTTGTTTTGGGGGGGTTTTGTATGACATCACTTGTCACTTTTTTGACAGTCGTATATAACACTCAATTTGTCTCACACACACACACACACACACACACAGAGAGAGATTTGTATTTCTTTTTTAATAACAATTCCATACATGCTTTTCCGACCGGTTTGTCTGGTCCGACTTGGCTGGTGGGCCGGCCTGTGAGCTTACGTAGGGGACGGACGGGGTGAGGCGAAGCTTTAAATGAGGCTGGGTGGCGTTGCTGTGGCGTTTATTTGGCCATGTGGAGGAGAAGGACCGGAGAAGTTGGTTTTTAGATGGTTGTCGTCTTATGTTTTTGCTGCTTCAAAGGATTGCACGCGAGCGTTTGGCTTCTACTAGCTAACTGCTCTTTTTAATAGAGTGCGCGAGGCACTTTAATTAACTTTTTAATTTAAAATAAAAGCAAACAGGGGAAGTGACAGCTTTATGTAACTTTTTAACTTTTTTTCCTCAGGGAGTGTAAATTACTTTTTTTAAGTGTTAAAATTCCTTTAAGAAAATTAATAAACTTTTCCAGTTTACCTCGCGCCATGGAGAGGATCGACGACGGTTACTCGGCAACGCAGGAGTATCCACATCCGTTCATTCACAAAATGAAGCTGACCAGGGCGCAAAGGATCCGGGTAACGCTCAAATATATATATCGATTTAATATAGAAAAACGCATATAATGACGTGTTTTATTTTAGTGACCATCAGTCATTCAAACATTGAGTGTTAACACCTGAAACCAACCATGTGAGGATTTTTACCAACACGGAAAGAGGAGCCAGTCACTAAGAGGTTATTTACGAAGTATTTACTATCAAGCGTTTTCTCGTGGGACTCTTCTGGTTTCCCATTTTCTTCTATTTTTGCCAATTTTTTTTTCTCATATCGATACAATCTTCAGTTTAGGCTTCCACAGCTCCCTGTTTCTCTGAGATCATAAGCAAATGAGCCAAGTCATAAATGTTCTCAGCACGGATAGGCGGGGTTGATGATGAGAACAACATGCCAGAGGGTTGCGCAACTTTGGAAAACTTATCAGTGTGGCTGGGAAGCAGTGAGATAGGCTTTCAGTTTATAAACATGTGTAAAACTGCACCTCTATGGGCATCTGAGTGTGTTCCCCTTATACACAGGTGCAAAGCTCTAATCTTAATTTTATTCAGGAGTTTCAGACTAAAGTTGTAAAACCATCAAAAAAGGCTATTTAATAGCTACGAATCAGGGTTTTCCTGTCACAAAATGGGACTTTGGTGACTGAATAAACTAACTAACCAATAAAGGAGTCTGTCTGTTACATTATTTGACAGAAATCTGTGCCTCATTTGTAAATATTTGCTAAGCAAAAATGTCCACTGTTATTCATTCTTATGAAACTAGGTTTAAACAAATGTATTTATCGCAGCGCTGCTAATTTCAAATCATGCAAAGTCCCGTTTCTGAGCGGTATGAGATTTATTGGGTCGTATGTGTGACTGCGCATTTAATGTATTTCTTCTGATCTCACAGGGTTTCATCCTCGGCAGCATCCTCTTCCCCATACGCGTCACCTTGGCGGTCCTTTTCTTCCTCATAATGTGGCCCATCGCCCGGCTGCGATTGGCCGGCCTGTCCGAGGAGGAGCGCTCCAAACCCGTAGAAGGCTGGCGCCGCTGGTTTTACCACCCAATCATCTGGCTGATGAGCAGAGCTGTGTTCTTCTCTCTGGGTTTCTACTGGGTTAAGGTCAAAGGTCGCAGGGCAAACCTAAAGGAGGCTCCGGTGCTGGTGGTGGCGCCCCACAGCAGCTTTCTGGACATGCTGGTTTTATGCCCGGCCCAGCTGGCGACGGTGGTGTCGAGGTCAGAGAACACCAGCCTGCCGGTCATAGGAGGTAAACAAGAGTAGCTCTTAGCTAGTTCTTAAGATTTATCAATATATACATTTCCTTCATGCGCATTTTTTTTTTATTTTTATTGTGGGTCGACAATAATGGCAATTTTCAAGTAAAACAGAAATGACATACATTGTACAGGGATAGGTGTCAGAGAACTATGACATGACAGAAGAATAGCAGCAAGAGTGAAAGGGAAGCTTTACAAGAGGGTAGTGAGGCCTGCTGTGATGTGATGTAATGTGTGGTTTGGAGACAATGGCACTGACAGAAAGATGGAGATGCTTAGATTTTCCCCGGGAATGATCAGAATGGACTGGAGTAGAAATGAGACAAAGAGACTGAGATGGTTTAAACATGTGCAGAGGAGGAACACTGGGTATATTGGACAAAGGATGTCGAAGATGGAGCTGCCAGGCAAAGAGGAAGACCTCAGAGGAGATTTGTGGATATAGTGAAGGAGGACATGTAGAGGGTTGGTGTGACAGAAGAAGAGGATGCTAGGAACAGGGTGGAGATGGAGGCAGATGATCCGTGAACTTTTTTGCGTTGAAGCCATCACCGTAGCCTCTGAGGAGCTGAAGCACACTCGCACATTTCTGACACCGATAATGAATAAAGAAATTAACTGTTAGATTAATGTGCGCCTCCTTTTCTTGTGAATTCTGCTGCCGCTGTGCTAGAAGCCCTGCAAACTTGCCCACACAGCTTATTGCATGCTGATGTAAGGTGCTGCTGAGCTATGATCTTACATAGGGCGTACATGCTGCTTCCTTTCAGATGTCTCCATGTCTGCTGTAGGAGAGAAATCTGCCTTTGATCGCGTGTTTTATCTTTTACGGGAACCCCTCAGCTATTCTGCTGACTCGGCCTCCGATGACAACATGAAGGTTGAGGCTTCAAGTGCAGACTTCCTTGTTTATAAGGAACTTGTTACTTGTCTATCCAGTTACTTGTTTATCTAGGTTGGATTTCATAGAAGTCAAAATGTAATGCGCAGTATTTGCAGTTATAGATATAGTTATATCTTTTCTTGTTTCTCTCTTTTTTCATCCTCTTGTCTTTACATCTGAATTAGCTCCACCACAGGGTAAAACAAACTCACTGCTGGGAATCCATCCTGAAACCCCTTATCTAATTTAACTTAATTTCACAGGTTAAAAAACTGCACATATAGAACAACCACACGACTGATAATAAACACGTGAAAAGTTTCCCAACTTTGCCCCCAAATAAGTTTTTAAGAAAGCTTTTTTCTCCTCTGGATTGTAAACCTATCTGCTTTTAGTCACTTGGCTGCATTTTTGTAATGACAAGTGCCTGGGTGACATCATATTTTCCTGTGCTGTGGAGGTATTCACAGTGCAGTGTGCTGATAACAGCAGGCATTCGCTCTCCACCTTTTTCACACAAACAATCCAGAGCAATATTTGGCCATCGGGCAGTTAGAGTAGGGGTGGGGGAACTCCAGACCTCAAGGGCCGGTGTCCTGCAGGTTTTAGATGTGTCCTTGATCCAAAACAGATTATTTAAATGGCTAAATTATCTCCTCAACATGTCTTGAAGTTCTCCAGAGGCCTGGTAATGAACTAATCATTTGATTCAGGTGTGTTGACCCAGGGTGAGATCTAAAACCTGCAGGACATTGTCCCTTCAGGCCTGGAGTTCAGCGACCCCTGTGTTAGAGGAAAGTAAAAGCATGCGAGGAGATCCAAAGATAAAGAAGCGGCCCACACCGCTGGCTCCTGATCTGCTGCGTCTTACAGGGTGTCTTGCTTTCTGATTCTGATTCTGATTCTTGTTCTTTTCTTGTGTTTCAGCACTGCTGGAGTTCAACCAGTCTGTGCTGGTGAGCAGGAAGGATCCAGAGTCGAGAAAAAAAGCTGTCGCTCAACTCAATGAGAGGTTGACCTCCGACGGCTACTGGCCTCAGGTGAGACACTTTGGCGGCCGACAGAATGTCACCCCTCCCTCGGCTGGGTTCTTGTTTACAGAAGTGAAATTTCTACCAAATTATCCCGTCAGACTTTGCAGCAGTTTGAGGAATGCAAAGCAGATTAAAGATAATCTTTTAATGGGAATGGTCCTTCTGTTGTTTACTGCTTGTGGTTTAGAAAAAATCTGTAGTTTGTCACAAGTGAGCAGTTGATCACGATTAGATTAGGTCCTCTTGATGGAAGAAGAGGGAAATGATCCTCTTTTCTGCCTCACGGGAACACATTTGTTTACATTTGTGTCCTTAACAACAGTGTACACCAGGGGTCCCCAATCCCAGTCCACGAGGGCCGGTGTCCCTGCAGGTTTTAGATGTATCCTTGATCCATCACAGCTGATTTAAATGGATAAATTACAATCAACATGTCTTGAAGTTCTCCAGAGGCCTGGTAATGAGTTAATCATGTGATTCAGTTGTGTTGACCCAGGGTGAGATCTAAAACCTGCAGGGACACCGGCCCTCGCGGACTAAGATTGGTTTACACACTGAAAAAGTCACCTCGGGGCAGCTGTTACTGCTGGTAGAAAAAGAGGGGACACAGATTAAAAGACTCAGTGTTGAAGAGAAAAGTAAAATAACTATGTGAAATTGTGGATGAGAAGATAAGGGATGTTGATGTGTGAAAGGAGCCATAAGCAGTCTGAAAGTCCCGTGTGAGGTGGCAACACTGCCATGACATCACAGGCCTGGAAATCGCTCTGTCTCAGCTCACTGCTTCTTTTCATTTCTGTCCAGATGCTGATGTTTCCCGAGGGGACAACGACTAACGGCAGTGCTCTCATCAAATTCAAGCCCGGTGAGTGGGACCTACACGTGCGACTCACGTAGGTGACATCATGCTGGTTTTCCAGCCGTTTGAACAAATGATGCAGGAATGACCTGTGTGAGCGGGAAGGGCGAAGCTGCACATTGTGCTGCTGCTGTGTGATTAACTGCTCCTCTCTTCCTCCTGTCTCCATCGGTGTCATCAGGTGCCTTTCTCGCTGGAGTTCCTGTCCAACCTGTGCTGCTGCATTACCCCAACAAGCTGGTGAGTAACACCATGGGCGTGCTGCTGGTGACAGTAGACTCCTTCTTTGGCTCTTTTAGATTATATTAATCATTTGAGCACTTCCATATTTTACACAGGACTGCCATTTTTGTCGGCTCTGTTTCCGTTTATCGTACCTGGACCGTGTCCTCTGTCTGTGACAGATATTCTCAAATGTTCCTGGGTCTTTGTTTTTAAAGAGGTCTGTGATCACAGCTCAGGTTTATGCCACACTGCGCTGGTTTGCCTGAAACTGCAGCTGTTCATCCACAGAGAGATCTGTACCAGGGAGATGCTATTTGGGTAAACGGGCCTCAAACATTATCTAAATGTTTCCCATGCACCCCATACATGATATGATTGAATGGCTTTAATGAATCATGTCTTTAAGGATGGCCTTGGTGTTCATTAAGGGTTCGTAACGTGTCTTGTCGGCTTCTTTATATTTTGCATATCTGAAAATCTGATTTCACTTCCTGAAATCAGATTTATCATGCTAGGAAAATAAACAAATAACTCTAACTCCTTAGTGCCTATTGTATCATATTTCATACCTACTGTTTTTGGGAGTTTCTGACTTTTCTACATCATCAATGTATTTTATTTCTCCCATTTCTCCCAGAAATACATTTCTAAGCAATTTTATTAAGGTGTAAAAAAAAAGAAAAAAGCCAGATGTAGCAAATAGGATACAAATTAAAAGCCATAATGGAAATTTATAGGGAATAAAAAAAATTGAAAACAAATTTGTCACTCTCCATTTTCAAAAAATGTGAATTTTGTGGCGATTATTTAATATTTCTGGTTCTAGTGGGTTAAGTGAGTGCTGCTCTGATGAGCTTCTTGTTTTGTTTTTTGTTTTTGTTTTCACAAACATGCATTACCTGCAGCCTAGCTCAGCTGGTACAACAGCAACAGTTGTGCAACAGTATTTACGGATGTTTTATCTGTCATGTTCTGCGGCCTCCCCTGTCACGTCCTCTTCCTGGGATGCGTTCGGCACACACAGTCCTGTACTTTAATCAGCTGAGGTTTGCATTTGTGAACACACTGTGATGTTTACTCAGGCACTGTGTTTGCATACTGGGTATTACCGAGGTGTGCCGGGACTGACTGGTATTACATATGCTATAAAATAAAAGAATAATAACCCCTCCCACTCTTGGAAAGCAACTCAGAGGAAAAATAAGAAAACTTTAAATGTTTATTTAAATTTGTTGTCTCTTCTTCAGGATACTGTTCGCTGGACATACAAAGGCACAGACTGGTGAGTTCCTTCATTGCTTCACCTGCACATCTGTCACACATGTTTAATGTCAGGGTTTAGTTTAGCAAACCCCAGAAACAAATGAAAATAAAAATCTACTTAAGGTAAACTCCAAGTAAGAACTTGGTGCTACAAGAGCAGCTTTTCAGCATCCTTATGCTTTTTCTAGAAGCTCAATGCAGTGCTGTAACAGATCAGCAGGGCCCTGTGCTATGAAACAAGTCCAACACACCCAAGACGTCTGGCTTTATCTGGTTTCACTTATGCTAACATCTGCAATCAGGATAAGCAGTGGCACGAACGTGGCGATCACTTGAGATGAGCGCGTTCGTGTGGAAAAAGGTGGCATCGCCAGTCTGACCAATCACGGGCACGGGTGTATATTTTTACAAAGGAAGATAAAACCGCTACATCAGAGAGATATGAAGAGAACAAACACACAATGTGTGTGAGGTTCAAGGGCTTTTGTCAGACTAGAAAAGATTTCTTGTATCAATAAAGTTTGGCCTGTTTGAAGCTGGGATGGAAAGTGGGCAAAAAGTCTGACTGCACAAGTTCAAAAGACTTCTCGGTGCCACGGCTCGAATATTAAGAGACATGTGCTTACAGTTAAAGGTCCCATCAAAGTTTTGTTTGGAAGATGGTTTGTTTTTTTCCTCCCAGCTGCAGCTCTGATGGCGTTTAACAGTCTGAGAGCAAGAAGAATCACCCCACTTCTGTAAACCTTTGAAGTTGCTTTTAAGAATCTGTATTTCTTACTGATGCTCATCAGGGAGAGAAAAAGACTTTAAAAACTCAAGTTTGTCCTGCTCTCTGTACACAGAGCTCTGAGAGATCATCCAGGAATGTCGATGCAAATCTTCAGATTAGTCAGCAGCCATCATTTTCATACCTGTCTGTCGCTAATCTCCAACATAACTTCCTCCAGACTAGCATACGTTGCCATGGTGAACCGCCCACCACACCAACAGGTTTAGCTTTTGTTTTTAACACATACAACATATCAATAATTCAATTACACTGGGGGAAAAATGCAAGGATATTGGCAATATTGTTGCAAATAATCAAGTCATTTGTAAAAAGCTTATGATGTAGACAATATAGAAGAATGGAGATCGTGTTGAGCAAAATTTAAAAAGCAGAAACCAGCGTTTTGTTTTTGTTTTTTTGTTTTTAAAAAAAAAGCTCTTCATAAGGGTCAACATTTTAATGTAATAAGTGTGTAAATGTAAATTAGTGAAGAAAGAAGTGTGATATTGTCAAAGCATGGTAGTGGAGGAAGCCTTCCTCCTAGAGAGCGTTTTTGTTTATGACCTTTCAGAAGCCCTTGTGAAGCATGACACAGACGGGAAGCTAAACGAGGCTGAAGCGTTCCGGACTTTGCACTCTAAGGAAATGTGCTCGTTTTTTCCAGCGTGCGCAGTAATACTGACCGCACCTGACCACTCTCACTGCTGTTATGTCTGCTGCTATGTCGTTGTTGCGTTTTCAGAGATTCGACACAAAATATACAACATCAAAACTCAGTATTACACTTTTTGTATACCAAAACACAAGAACAGAAAACAAAGGACAAACATAGGTGGGGGAAAATGTTAATCAAAGGTAGCTAGTGTACACAGGGAAGGGGGTGTGGTGTTTCGACAGAAGAACGGAGACGGCTTGGTTTATAATGGAACGTGTATTCAGCAGTAGTTAGCCATCCAAAACATATCACCATACACTTCTCTTCTTCTATCCTTCTATCACTATTAGTCACAGAGCCCCCTACTGGTAACTGAGTATATGTTCATATACAGTCCCCCTTGTAAAGCAACCCTTCACCATCTTAGCAGTGTATGCAAACATAACATCTCTCCTCATTCTCACAGAATTCTACTACCTCAGTATTACTTACTTAGCATGGTAACATTACTATTTGCACATAACATTATCAGTAGTAAACTTTGCAACCAGACAGCATTTTCAATACTGCTTGCTGAACCTATTTCACTTATAACACTACTGGGTGTTTGAACTATACCTGTGATCTTAACATACCCATCTTGTTATGGTGCCTAAATCGACCTTTATAATGAATACTTGTACAGTTAAGGTTACTGTAGTAACTTAACAACCTTAAGTCACAAAACTTCACAAATAAATCACAGTAAATCAATCAT